GCCACACCGCGCGGGGGCGCTCCCCAGCCAGCGAAGGTGTCCGAGCTGGGTGTGCCCAGCAGGGTACCGGGATCTCGGGTGCGGGGGGGAGCAGAGCAGCCTGCCGGGAGCCGTGGGGCTCAGACCCAGCGAGCAGGGGCCGGCGCGGTGCGGGAAGACACTCACCGTGGGTCGGCCGGGCGAGGAGCAGTGCCACACAGAGTGCCAGGGCTGCGGCGCAGGGCGCCATGCCAGCTCAGCATCCTCTGCAGGCGTGGGGCTGGGCGAGCGGGGTGCCGAGCTGTGCTCTGGCAGGCTGCTGGATGCTCGTTTTTCCCCCGGGGGCTGGCTCTCGGTGACGTCTCGGAGGCGTTAGCGCAGCGGGAGGAAAGTAGCTGCGTAGCAACTTCCACTTTTCTTTACTGCCCACCCACGGCTGGTGTCTCAGCACAGGCTGGGCATTTCCTACAAGCAGCATTAAAGGAAGAGCTCTGGGGACTTTTCTGAACAAACCAGTACACCACTGAGAGAGAAAATAGGAGTAAATCATGTGTTTTCTGCTTTGTTGTTAAACGAGGTGTTAAAAGCACAGCACAGGGGGCAAGTGGTAGCAGCTGGGATGACCCATCAGAGGGGTTCTACTGAGCACAGCACCCACTCAGCAATGTCCCCTAGGGCCAGGGTCCTGTCCTGCCAGCCGCTAAAGCCAGTCAGCTCACAACCAGCCCTGGAGAGCCCACAGCCCCAGGACAGGGTTTGTTCTTTCCCTTCCTTTGGGCTCAGCCCATATCCTCGTGCTTCAGCCTGTGGTTTGCCTTTCCCCATTTTGGGGCCCAGTGACAGCCTCTGGGCTGTTCTGTGTCCTGGGCACAGGGGTGGCACCACAAGCTCTGCAGTTGGGTATGGTGCAGGGGGTGTAGCAGCCAGCCAGACCCGGGGCCCTGGCACGGCCACGGCACACACGGGGCTCTGGCCCCATGTCTGGTGGTGCTGTCCCTGGGTGCCAGGACCTGGATGACCACCAAGCCACTGGCAGTCCCCAGCTTTGTCTTCTGACAGGCTGAATTACAGGAGGGCTTGCTTGAGGGCTTTCCTGGGGCCTGTGCAAACCCAGTGGCCCTCATGTGATGAAGAGTGATTTTCTCAAGGTGAGGAATTTCCCATTGGGCAATTAGTGGAAAGGACGAAGACAGAAAGAGCAAGAGAAACTGAGAGTGCTCTGGACAGCCTCAGAAAGTTTCAGAGCAGTCCCTGGCTTGCTGGGCACAGAGGTGCAGGACCTCGGGTCCGTTTGCCACAGCAGAGTTGCTCCTCAAAGAGCCATCTTAAATACCCAAAGCAGAAGATTTCTGCTTTTTCCCCTGACTCTGAACAGTCTGTCCCCTGCTAAAGCTCATGGGCTTCCAAGAACTCTCAGCCTTGCCAGAGCACCAACAAATTCATCAGCTGCAGGGTAGGTCGAGCAGTGCCACCAAGCCTGGTGGCAGGACCTCGGGCACAGGATGATAGGGCACACAGGCTTTGGCTCCACTCCACCAGTGCCCCAGGGAGTACTTGCCCAGGGTGGTGGTGCTGGGTGCCTGGCAGCAGGGAGAGGCTCTGGCCCTCTGAGGGGCAGCCAGAGGCACTGGCAAGGGAGGATGGCTCCAGGAGCAGATCCCTCCCTGTCTTCACCCCAGCTTGGCTTTGTTTTCCCCTCTTTAGGAGAGCAACTGGTGTCCTGTCACTCTGCTCTCAGCTCGTGAGTCAGATCTGGCATCCACTGAACTTAGGAGTGCTGAGATGAAGCACAGCCCATCCCACACAGCTCGTGTTTTGTGTAAAGGTACGAAAATCAAAAGCAATGGGACCAAACCTGAGGAAGCAGGGAGACTTGTGGTCCTGCAGGTGAGGCAGTTCAGAGGCTTGGGAGAAATGGTTGGCAATTTAGGGGAACATGAAACAGGCTGGGGAGAAATGACAGTTCTGCTGAACGCTCTGGCGGTGAGCAGCACAGCTGCCCTGCAGTGCTTGTGCTGGCACCTGAGCTGCTGCAAGGGTGTGGGTGCTGCCAGGTGCCACGGGAGGAGCTGCTGCCAGGTCAGCAGCAGCATCCCTGTGTGCTGCCTGCTCTGCAGCTCAGTGCAGATGCTGCCCAGCATCCCTGCCAGTGCTTTGCCCTCATCCTCCACGGAATGCCACTTGGCAGCCTTGCAGCTGTGGGATCCGTCCGTGTCTCCGTGCTGCCTTGGCTGCCAGCAGCTCTGCCTCGCAGGGGGAGGAGGGCAGACCTGTGCTCCCAGCCCCTGCCTGGCACGCAGCCCTGTCCTGCAGCCACATGCTGTGCTGAGGTAGCCACCAGGCAGGGGACCTGGCGATGACCACAGATGAGCTTCCATCAGGCATCGGTGACCACCCCAAGCGCTACACGAAAAACAAAGCGTTACAGAGAAAAGCAGCTCCATGCTTTCAGTGTTAGTAAGAGAGGTTTTGACTTCACAGGTCAAACCAGCACCCGAGAACATTGCTAATTTTCCTTTCCATCTTGAAAAGAATTGACTAATCTTAAACTAGGAATAGCCATGTTTTTAATAACCTGGAAATCACCTGAGTCAGAACCGCAGAGCAGGTCTCTCCCCAGAGCCTCTGCAGCTCCTCTCAGGTGCAGTGAGGGCTGGGAGCTGCAGCCGCCCTGGCCCTGTGCCCAGCTCCTGCCAGAACCCTCCTGCTGGCCACTAGTCCTGGGCACCTGCTTGGTGAAGGGGCTGACCCCGTCCCCAGACACATCCTCTGCTCCATCCTCCGTCTGCCTGGGCACCGCTGCCCGCAGCGCCCGCGTCCTGGAGCTGCTGCACTGTGGCCAGGGCCCAGGGCCTGCAGCCTCAGCAACGCCAACAGCTTTGCTCGGGGTAAGGCTGGATGGGGCTGGATTCCCAGTGGCCCCCAAGCACTGTGGGTGATGTGGCTGACCCTGAAATATCCCCTTGCTGACCCCTGTATCAGCTGGGCAGGGTGACAGCACCACAGAGAAACCTAGCCCATGGGTGCCCTGGCAGAGCTGCTCTCTGTGCTCCCCTGCCCTCCACCTCCAGAGACCTTGGAGGGTTTTGCCCAGGGTGGCATGGGGGTTGACAGCCCCAGAGGGGTAGGCTCAAGCAGTGATGCTGGGCTTGGAGGGCTGGCTCTGTGCAGGCACAGCCCTGCAGCAAGACAAAGCACTGCGCCTGGAAGAGCAGAGTTATCCTCTTCCCAACTCCATCATGCCTGGAGGCCAGAGCAGGGAGCAGTGGAGCTGCCGGGCTCTCCCAGGCTGGTGGTGCTGGCTCTGGCTGCGTGCTATTAGCAGCTTGGTTTGGTAGCTGGGAGGGTGCAGCAGGGCTCACAGAAGCTGTTACCAACAGAGGATTTCAGATGGGAGGTGTTGTGCACATGTGACATTTAACATCGGGTTGCTGGGGTCAAGCCCAGACACATGGTTCTTTGTAACTTGCTTTCTGTAGGTGGCTTTGTAGAATCACCAACAAGCGAACGTTCCTGGAGCTACTTTCTGAGAAGCCCTTTTAAGAAGAGGAAGTGGCAGCTTCTGCAGGCACCCAGGCAGGGCCAGCCCTGGACCGTCCAGGGACACAGCTCACTG